CACCAATATCTTTCCTTTTGTAGACGCCTCCTGTTATGCAGTAAAATCCCGATCAATCAAATTTGTCTACTCTCACATGTTATGTGGGTACACTTTGGAAAAAAATTTCGGTGGTTCCCTAAATATTTCTTTTTCTTAATATTGCCACATTTTTTTAATTTGTTAGCAGAAAAGTGGGCACATATCAACTTTTGTGAGTTTTTCTTCAACCTGATTCTTTTTTCATAAACCCCGTCTTGCTTTTCACAGCCCGCAAAATATCTGAGAATGTACCAAGTCCACAGTCCGTAGCAGGGAAATGTCATAGCTACTATAGCATAGGGCCCTAGATGAGATGCGTCAAACTACTTCTCCGTGAAAACACAACAAAGTTGCGAAAATTAGGTAAGACCACTTCCATACAGCGGAGGGAGCCTGCAATCAAAACAGAAGCGACATCTTAGTCTTAATATCTACGATTAAAGATATGAAGACCAAGATGCTGTGGCCCCGGTATGGTCGCAGTCTTCTTTCGATTTATAGAAGTGGGTTGACCTCGTTTTCGCAAATTGGTCTTGCTGCCAAGGAGACTTAGTAGAACGCACCTTGTCTGAAGTCCTCTGTCATAGTAGTTATAATAATTCCCAGCATCAGATCGTGGACGTTTCACCGGCATTATAGTCGGCATCATCAATGCCATTCTCCGCGCCAAGCTATGAACTCGTCAAATAAACGATTAAACTTTAAACTTGGTTTTAAAAATGCATTACAGGATGGCGTCGAGAGATCAGACGAAGAAAAATTGATATGCTCTTCCAGCGCCCCAATTTGAAGTTTAATGAATCAAGAATAATAATTATTTAAGAAAAATTGTGGTGAACAAATTTTAATGCACCTTTAAGGAGTTTATTTACATAAAAAATATTTCAAAACTTACTCCACACAATCTCTCCCAAATATGATTACAAACTTAAGCAATATCGTGTTCTGACCCTGTACATATTAGCAAGCCAGGATAAATCTCAAAGCCAATATATAAATTTAAATAATTTAAATAATTAATAGCCTAGATACTCTCATTCTAATATGAGTAGACATAAGAGATATGAAGCCAATTCCAAATAATGGCTAAATAAATAGTAAGCGTGGGTGAAGAAAAAAAGCAATAAATTTCAAGAATTCCGATCGATGCGTTACCCAATATTTTATTTAAATGATGAAAAACGAGAAGAATAGCACTTACCGTCAGAGTCATGAAGTGCAGCGTAACTGTCCATCATACCGTCCAGGACGACTCCCAATGCACGACGTTGCTCGGCCGTCAGTGAAGTAACTGCCCAATCAGGACGGAGAACCCGTTGTTCCATATGGTCAAATGGCATCAGTTCGGCATATGCTAACTCCCACTGAAGCAAAGCCCGAGCTAAAGCGCCACAACGGAGACTGGCGCGGGCTTGTAGTGGATGCGGGATTGCGGCAAGGAAGTCGCCTACCCGATTAAGTACTGTAAGCAAAAAGGAAGCAAATAAATCTTTTTAATTCCGCGAGTGAATGAAATTAAGATAATAAAAAAATATTTAAAAAATAAATAGATGAGACTATTAATTAATATTGAATAAGAGCTTAGTTCGCTCGAGTTTATTGAAAGAAATGAAGGAATGATATTGAATTTCCCCATAATAAGATAAGTAGCTCTAAAGATGAAAAAAATGCAACTAGCCTGGCTCAAAAAAATATTCTCCTATGTGCATTTGTTCATAAGACTTATCATTGAAGGTAAAGTATATGCTACCCATGAGCATGTGCTAATGTCATGCTCTGATCATCAAGGCCTAATGACCCAAGAGGCCCGAGACAGCGTAAGCCCGTAAGCAAGTATGGTTGAGAT